ATAGTGCAAGGTTGTGTATGGATTCTACACCTGTAGGGGTCTGATTTGAGCACTGATTGCTGAACCCAGAAACTCTTAAGTTGGACAGGATCCTGGAAAAATTTTCTAGGTGAATTCTGGAAAGGAATTAGCTTTGCATTTGTCCACTTTCAGTTTAGCTTCCTTTGTACCCCTTCATGCACGGTGCTGTGTTGTCACAATCCCACCAATGGTGAGACCATTAAGATTTTATCATGTTTGTCCTAGAGTCATTATATTATGCGATGGGCAATGTTTATTGACAATTATTATTTTCTGTACTATGATTTTTGTAGTCTGGGTCTGTACTAGGCTTCTGGAATTAATTTTAAAAAACCCTTGTTAGGCAGCAATAGGAGAGAAACACTTTGCAGAAAGCTTTTACATGATTTATGTGCTTTGAGTCTCGATTCCTATGGAAAGATTTAAGTAAAATAGCTTGAGCTAACTGCTGCTGTTACTATCATCTTTAATATACAGGCAGACCAAGGTTCTGATCATGCTCAAAGAGTATTTGTTATATTAAGGTGTTTGAAACTCTTACCTAGTTTCAATGAAATGTTCCAGTTTTACCTAGCACTTTCAATCTGCTATTCCATATAATTTCTAGCTTCCTGGAAAGGAAAAATATTCAATAAAATATTCAAACAAATAAGCAAAAACCTCCAAAATGTTTTCTTTCCATCTTTCAGAGTCACTTTATAAAACAGTTTTATCCCCAAGTTTAGAGACCTAAAAGTGAAGTGCCAAAAGATTTTGAAATATGGAATTATTATCTTCTAGAAGCAAAATACTCAATGAGAAGCAAACAGGAAAAAGTTCTCTGCAGTTGGAATTTTGTTCCTTCTCTATGCTGTTTCATCTCTTTTTTTCTTTTTCAGGTTTTATGTTTTACTAGTTCATTGTGTTACATGATGATTTTATTCCTTGTGAGATGTTGGTACATGTACATAACACATCTTAATTAGTTTTGCATCCTTTCTCCTCCCCTCTCCCGCTCTCTCCTTCTCTAACCACCTTCCCATTTGAACAAATTTATCTCCCTACTTCTTATCTTTTATTTTGTTCTTTACATTTTGGAATTCTGTAAGAGAAGCCACTGGTATTTAAACATATGTACCTGTTTCATTTCACTGAAGATTACTGTTATTAATTTTCCTATCAATTACTAAAGTTTATGCTTTACAGCAAAGTAGTATTCCACTATGTGTGAATCCCAGACTTTCTTTATTCATGCATCTGTCAATGGGCATATAGGCCACTTGCAAAATGTATCTATCATGCATTATGCTCTATAAATATGTGTATTCATGGATCTCTATAATATGATGTTTTTAACTCTTTTGCAAAGATACCTAGGATGGAAATATCTAGGTCAAATAAAATTTGTAATTGTAGTTTTTTGAGGACTCTTCATACTGATTTCCATGGTGGTTGTACCAGTTCACATTCCTGTTAACAATGGAGGAGGATTGCCCCCCAAAACAGCTTAGCCAGCAATTATTATTCTTTGATTTCTTGATTATAGACACTCTTTGGAATGAGATGGAAACTCCAAGTTGTTATAATTTGTGCCTCTCTGATGGCCAGAAATCCTGAACATTTTATCATGTATTTATTGTTCACTTATACCTCATTTGAGAAATGACTATTTCAGTTACCCATCTTTTGATTGGGTCCCTTTGAGTTTTATCTCTTGATTCAAATTACAAGCATCTTGGATCCCTATGCAGAACCCCTTGAAATGGCTCTCTGGCTTGGGGCTTCTTTCTTCCAGAGCATATTTGTATTTCTGTTTCTGTTTTTCCCTTAGTGCCCCACGGGTTAGGTTAGAACTCTTTAAACTGTACCCTAATCAACTTTTTTTCATTTCTCTCCTCACAAATCTTTAAACATCGCTAGACCAGAAATTCACATCTACTCACTATACAGCTGCGTCCTCATTCTAGTGTCCCCCAATATGGTCGGATACATGAATGAAACGCATGTTACATTTCCATGCTTTTTGTGTGTGTGTTCTTTGCAAGGAACATTTTTAGGTCATGTATATTAGAAACTTAGCTTTAATTTCCTGTAAAAACTAGCAGCAATTACGTCAGCCTCCCCGGCACTTGAAAGATGACAGAAGTCAGTGGTTCTCCGCCCGGGTGACATGTACGTGGCCATGTTTGAAGATAGCTTGGATGCACAGGGCAGTTCCATAACATGTCAGTGCTGTGGAGAAGTTAGACAGCCTGGTTAGGCAAAGATACCTCGAACTGGGCAGACCAGTTTTTTGACTTCACCTCTCTGGGTGCCATTAAAACTAACAATCACATAGAGAGAGATAGTTTATGCCTGTTATATTTTCTCCACATTTAAACACTGCATAAGCTTTTCACAAGTACTTTTACTCTCCTCAACAATACTGTGATTTAAGAACTATTTTATTATTCTCTTTTCAGATGAGGAAACCAAGACAAGAAAGCATCCATTCTAGGAACTTACATCTCCCGGACAGTTTTTTCCCCTCCCCTAGGCGACTCTGTTTGTTGTGTGAGCCTGTAAGACTCCAAGTATCCCTGGGTAATTCTATACTCAAAAACATATTTTGAGTGTTACTTTCCCACCTCTTCTGAAGACTAAATGTTCTTAATTACTTTATGAAAGTGGGCTGCTCTGACAACAAATAAGTTTTAAATTTCTGCTAGAAATTTGTGTTTATCATTGAAATAAATATTATTTCATAAGCCATATGCCATAGACAGTCATTACAGTACCACTCACAGAAAAATAATTTTACATGAAAAATGACATTGTAGACTTTCTACTTGGGATAAAAGGGATTAGAATTTCTTCTGCCTTTTTTCTTAAGATTCATATGACATGCTCTTTTATTTTTATTCAATAAATCAAAACAGGAGTGATTAAGGCCATCACTATATTTAAGAAAATGTTTGTGCAATATTAATGTTTCCAACCAAGACTCTTACTAATAAGTAGATTTTGGGCCTAAGGTTCTGGCTTTCCACTGACTTCTCAGATCAGGTTCAGGCTATTGAACCAAATACCATAATGGAGCAGCAAGGCATTAGGAATCATTAAGATGTCCATCAAACCTGAGCCAAAGACAGCATCAGGCTGATGGCATTAACCTCGCATTTCCTATGTGACTTTCCTTGTATAAATTGTCCTTTAAGAGTATAGAGAATCTCTTCTGCAGCGAATGACTCACTTACCATTGCAAAGTACATATCTGTGCCAGGCATGGTGGCACACACCTGTAATCCCAGCACTTGGGAGGCTGAGACAGGATGATCATTGTGAGTTCAAGGCCCATCTGGGTGGCATAGTGAAACTCTGTCTCATATAAAAGAAAAATACATATTTGCAAGCTTTTTTAAGGCCTTATTGTAAAGAAAGCATTATGTTCCTTTGCTTTTGTCTAGAAAATGATTCTCCTTTGATTTAAAAGTTTCCAAGGAATAAAAAGCAAAATGAATTTTACCATTTCTGGTTATCGAAGACATTTTAAAATGGGCTACAGTCACTTAAATTATAGAACAAATTTATGTTATCCTTTCACTTAGAGAACATTTACAGTGTTTTTTTTTAAATTATATTTCTAAAGATAGCTAAGGGAACCATTTCAAATATACCCGCTGTGATTTTAGTATAAGTCGTTTCAATCTCAGTGTGTTGGTGAGAATTAAGGGACTTGCAGAGTGCCATGCCCCATCATGTTAACATATTTTGTAAGGAAATCAAATATGGCACCTTTCAATTAACTTCTTTACCTCTCTAATCTAAAAACAAATGGAACACATTCTAGAGCAAGAAGGCGTGATTGCTATTCGAGAATTGCCTTTCCTTTTTTCAAATTGTCTTCTCTCATTTCAAAATTTGCTAAAAGTCCCCATATGAAAGCAAGAAAGCGCTCACTGACAGGAAGGCTGTTGTGTTAAAAAAAATAATTCATTCTCAATCATGAGCTTGGTAGCTCTTCAAGAGATCATGATGGAATAGTTCATCTGTACCTGGAGACCCCAACAGAAGAGATACGTGGAAATGCTCCATGGCCTAGGGTTTGGCCAGGCGCCTTGGGAATTCAGTGTAAGCTGTTTTGGAGAGAAAGAAGATGAGGAGAGGCTTTACACCTGCTTCTGTGCATTGTGTGTGTATTACTTTGTCCTAGTGTCAGAAGAAAAGGATAGATGATTCTTAATTAACATGGAAAGTGCTCAAATTGTTAGGGAATTGAGGACAGATAAGTCCTGATTCTACCTGGGCAGTGTTGCATAGAAAATAGGAGAAGTAAAATAGTTACAATTACATCTGTGAGATGATATATGTAACGTTTATCTTAATTCTCTGAAATTCTCTAAAAAACCCCAGTAAGCTTTTATATCAGAATTTTAAGAAGAGTTGGAACCTTAAAGGTACAGTTTTCTTACTTCACTGTATCTGAAGAATCATATATAATAAATGTTTTTGGACATGTACTGCATTTCAAAGACTTTCTTAACAAGGATGCATTTCCAAAATGAATTAGTTCCCAGTTTTCAATTCTAAGATATATAATGCTATAAAAGGGCTTCACATTTTTCTTTAAAGTTTGCTAGTTGCTCAGTCCTTGGCTCTATCTTGAAAAGCACTGTGACCAGTTGGATTTGTAAGTGCTCACCATTCACTTTCCAGTGGATTCAGTGTGTCTGTTGTACTTCTCTATTCGGATATGCAAATAGCTATTAAGAGAAAGTACTCATTATGATGTAAAATTTACAATATTGTTATTGAAAATGTGATGTAAAAATATCATTTTCTTTTGACGATATTTTGAGCATTTGTCTCTTGAATACTGTTATTTAAACAACTACTTGACACTAACCCATGTCCCGATATTTATTCTCAATCACATTGCTTTTCAAAGGCTTAAATTTCTATCAGTTCTTTTTCTCTGACTATTCTTAATGGACTGTTCTCTTTCTTTTTTCCTACAATAGGTTGCAGACTGCGCTTAACCAAGAAATCCGTAGCCTGTCCCTCAAAAGAAGAGGGAGCTCTGTCCAGCTGACTTAAGCAAGTGTTGTCCTTGCTGATAATTCTCCATCACCCGTTGCCTGTGTGGAACACTTTCCTTATTGAATTAGTTTGCACATGGAGCACAGCAACAAAGAGGGCAACATAGGCTGATGAGAACAGAGACATCAGGAAGATTATTTTCCAATCTGCCCTCAGGACATTCTCTCTAGCTGGAGTTCTGGACTTCGGCAGAACCCTGCCCAGTTTGATTTTACTGCCTGGTTTTCTTTTCTTTTCTTTTCTTTTTTTTTTCCCCAACACATTGTATTTTATTTCTGTATTTCAGAAATGGGCCTACAGACCACAAAGTGGCCCAGCCATGGGGCTTTTTTCTTGAAATCTTGGCTTCTCATTTCCCTGGGGCTCTACTCAGAAGTGTCCAAACTCCTGGCCTGCCCTAGTGTGTGCCGCTGCGACAGGAACTTTGTCTACTGTAACGAGAGAAGCTTGACCTCAGTGCCTCTTGGGATCCCGGAGGGCGTAACCGTACTCTACCTCCACAACAACCAAATTAATAATGCCGGATTTCCTGCCGAGCTGCACAGCATCCAGTCCGTTCACACGGTCTTCCTTTACGGCAACCAGCTGGACGAATTCCCCATGAACCTTCCCAAGAACGTCAGAGTCCTCCATCTGCAGGAAAACAACATTCAGACCATTTCCCGAGCTGCTCTTGCTCAGCTCCTGAAGCTCGAAGAGCTGCACCTGGATGACAACTCTATCTCCACAGTAGGGGTGGAAGACGGGGCCTTCCGGGAAGCTGTAAGTCTCAAATTGTTGTTTCTGTCCAAGAACCACCTGAGCAGTGTGCCTGTCGGTCTTCCTATGGACTTACAGGAACTCAGAGTGGATGAAAACCGAATTGCTGTCATATCAGACATGGCCTTTCAGAACCTCACGAGCTTGGAGCGTCTGATTGTGGACGGGAACCTCCTGACCAACAAGGGCATTGCTGAAGGAACCTTCAGCCATCTCACCAAGCTCAAGGAATTTTCAATAGTCCGTAACTCACTCTCCCACCCTCCTCCTGATCTCCCAGGTACGAATCTGATCAGACTCTGTTTGCAGGACAACCAGATAAACCACATCCCTTTGACAGCCTTCTCAAACCTCCGTAAGCTGGAACGGCTGGATATATCCAACAACCAGCTGCGAATGTTGACTCGAGGGGTCTTCGATAACCTCTCCAACTTGAAGCAGCTCACTGCTCGGAATAACCCTTGGTTCTGTGACTGCAGTATTAAATGGGTCACAGAATGGCTCAAGTACATCCCTTCGTCTCTCAACGTGCGGGGTTTCATGTGCCAAGGTCCTGAACAAGTCAGGGGGATGGCTGTCAGGGAGTTGAATATGAACCTTCTGTCATGTCCCACCACAACCCCAGGCCTGCCTCTCCTCACCCCGGCCCCTAGTACAGTTTCCCCAATGACTCAGCCTCCCACCCTCTCTGTTCCAACCCAGAGCAGAAGCTACACGCCTCCGGCTCCTACCACACCCAGACTCCCCACCATTCCTGACTGGGATGGCAGAGAAAGGGTGACTCCGCCCATTTCCGAACGGATCCAGCTCTCAGTCCACTTTGTGAATGACACTTCCATTCAAGTCAGCTGGCTCTCTCTCTTTACTGTGACGGCGTACAAACTCACGTGGGTGAAAATGGGCCACAGTCTAGTAGGGGGCATCGTTCAGGAACGCATTGTCAGTGGTGAGAAGCAACACCTGAGCCTCATTAATTTAGAGCCCAGATCCACCTATCGGATTTGTTTAGTGCCACTGGATGCTTTTAACTACCGTGCCATGGAAGACACCATCTGTTCCGAGGCCACCACCCATGCCTCCTATTTGAACAATGGCAGCAACACTGCTTCTAGCCACGAGCAGACAACATCCCACAGCATGGGCTCCCCTTTTCTGCTGGCAGGCTTAATTGGGGGCGCAGTGATCTTTGTGCTCGTGGTCTTGCTCAGCATCTTTTGCTGGCACATGCACAAAAAGGGGCGTTACACCTCCCAGAAATGGAAATATAATCGGGGCAGGCGGAAAGATGACTACTGTGAAGCAGGTACCAAGAAGGACAACTCCATCCTGGAGATGACAGAAACGAGTTTTCAGATTGTCTCCTTAAATAACGATCAGCTCCTTAAAGGAGATTTCAGACTGCAGCCCATTTACACCCCGAATGGGGGCATTAATTACACAGACTGCCATATTCCCAACAACATGCGATACTGCAACAGCAGCGTGCCCGACCTGGACCACTGCCATACGTAACTGCCAGACCCCCGGCAGCACCAAGACAGACGACCAAACTCTTGGGAAGGCACACGTGTGTGCACATAAAGACACGCAAATTACATTTGATAAATGTTACACAGATGCATTTGTGCATTTGAATACTCTGTAATTTATACGGTGTACTATATAATGGGATTTAAAAAAAAGTGCTATCTTTTCTATTTCAAGTTAATTACAAACAGTTTTGTAACTCTTTGCTTTTTAAAATCTTAAAAAATAGTTGCTGTACTGTACAGGGTTGTACAATGCGAACCCAACGCCAAGGCAAAAGAACGAGTGATTCTTCCCTATGATGCACATTTACCACTTTGCTGTTGGCGCTGTTACAATAAGTTCCTTTCTTAGAGCTGAGGATCAGGTGAAAGGGCACATTCAGATGGACTCGTTAGGGTAAGAATAATATGGGTAAAGCAAAAAAAATGGCCCAGTTATTTTCATGCTATTTCTATACCTCCTGGTCTGGAGGAAAAGTAAAAAACAAAAACAAAACAAAAAAATGTATAATAAAAGAAGGAAGGTAGTTTCCTTGATTTGATACAGTGCAAGAAATGCAGAGAACATAATGAGGGGATGAGTTCCCGTAAGATAAGTTAACCCAAGCTGAGAGATTCAAGAAACTCAAGAGGAGATTTGCAAAGATCTTAAAACCCAGGAGTTGACTTTCTGATTGGGAACTTAAAAATCACTCTTCATGCTTCTCTGGTCCTATGTGAGAACAGAGCTAGAGACTTGAATATGATTTCAGTCATCTTCAGGGACAAAAAGTCCTAGCAAGAAAGCTCCCTTAAAACATGTCACTATTTAAATCATACGTCAGGTTGAATCACATTCAACAGATATATATTCTAGAATACTTTTTTTAGAAGAGGATAATAAAATAATTGGAAGAATTATATTGAATGGAATTATTTTTGATAACAAGAATTATTTGGGTAGTTTCACTGAGGCTATATCAACATGATATTTAGACCAACTAAAGAAACAGAGTTTGGAAAATATTAAAATGACTTGTTAGTTTAAAAAATTACTGATAGACAAAACACCTGATGAGTGGTTCTATTATACAGTGTCAGCTGACTTTGTTAATATCATGTTGAGATAGCTTGGATTAGTACCTGTATCCCCTTCCCAAATTCTTGTCTTCCGACCATCTTGCATATATTTTTGTAATTGTTTATTGCCACCTTTGTTTTTTTCCTCCTCTGCTCAATATTTCAAAAAAAATTATGGATACCACTTTGGGTTGCACAAAATATTCATACATATATACTTTTACATTTTAAAATGCACACTAATTTTCACGGCTGATGAGGATACATCAAAGATGGATAAGAGAATGCGTATTTTTAAAAGCAATACCAGGTTTTTACCTCGGATTGGCTTTGACTCTATTCTGTTTGAATCTATTCATTCTTTTCCAACATGGATGTTCCTCTAATTTGGACTTTACTAAAAAGTCTTACATTAGCAGGACCACTCCAAAAAAAAAAATGAGCAAGTCAAAGAATTAAGGCTTCCCTAATTTTGCCAGAGCAGGGCTGAAGGAAGAGCGCATAGAAAAGAGAGGGATGTTTGTGCTTAATACTAAGTATTTTTGAAATAATATTCATCTTCAAAAAATATATATGATTTACTCTAATCCTTGTCATCCCTTAGATGTAGAAGGGCTATAGATCACAAACATTACTATAAAAAAACATACCCTTGGAAAATTCGTTTCAAAATTATGTTCAGAAATTTCACTCTATGTTCCATATTTCATTTACAACTGGCCATTTATATTAGAGACTTATGAAGTAAATGTCACAATCATCTTGCTTTCTCTTTTTTAAGCAAAATAAAACTGTGATATGTCTTCTTTGTAAAAGTTTAGGTATAAAACGCTATGCAAGCTTTTCTTTATAGTAAGAGCTTTATTTTCTTTAATAATATACCCCAACTTATATGTTTGAATCTCCTTCATCCCTCAGAGCAAGCAGAAAACATAACTGAAACTATAATGTTGTAGACACAAGAATTGAAACTACAGTCAGTCAGAGCTGAATTTAGCTACGAATTAATTTAAATTAATTCTAAAGTGACTCTGGTTTCCATTGTAGTCTATTAGCTAGAGGGTTTTGGCTGTTGTTGTGTTAAAGCTACACCCACACAGGGAAAGGTTAAGACAATCTGCAGAGATGAGCAATGTATCAGTAAAATCAGGACAGTGACAGGGGCTTTGTGTACTTAGCTAGGTAATTCCTTTCCACTGCCCTCTTCCCCTCTGCAGTGTAGATAAAGCTGTGTCCAAATGTGTTACTTTGACTTCTGAGGGTTTTAATTTCTGTTAGCCACAAAATAATCATTCTCATATATTTGTATTGAATGTTTAACTCCTGGCGGGATTTTCAGCTGTTGACACTTCTTTGCTTTGGGCCAGGTAAAACAAGAGTGGAGAGTTTACTATAATATTTTGTCAGATTTGCAGAATTATTCAGGGTTCAAGAGGTACCATGGAGACCCAGTCATGTGAAATGGTTAGAAGGGCGCAGAAGAGTTTCTCTCCTAGCAGATGTTCCTCAAAAGAAGGAGCCCAGTTACACCCTTTATTTTGATCTTCTTGCTGCATGACCTAGATTGCTACAATTACGATCAGCCCTATTTGTAATAACATACCTTGGGTTCTCACCTCCACCTGCATAGAAAGCACATCGTGGAACCTGTAATGTCTAATGCATTTCATTAAAATTGCTGAACAGCCCTCCCTCATGGATTACACCTTGACTGGCATTTTAAGTAACAAGCATGTGTTTCAGAGATATATCCCATATGTATTTGGGCCTCTCTTGATCTGATTAGTCAAGAAATTGCAAGTTGAAATTGCAAGACAAGGTCATAGGACAAAGCCACAATTACTGGCTTATAAAGAACCTTCTATCTGACCAATTGAGATACTCCTGACTCTTGTTACTGTACAGGCAACATTCCAAAAGCAAAAGGCATAGTCAGTCACACAGTTATTATAGGGAGTTACTCATATCCAGGATGATCACTAATACCCTTTTGTCTGGGGAAATGTGTGTGATCGTGGAGGCATCAGATGCATGGTCAACACGTCTCACGTTGCCTGGGAAAATGACAGGCAGAGATGGAAAGGTGTTCTGTGTTCTGTGTGCCTAAAGTGGGAGACAGAAATAATTCAATTTCTAATTATCCAAGTGTTTATTGAACAATATTAGACGTTTCCCCCGAGATTACAACAGAAAGTGTAATGTGACCAGTCTGGTAAGAAGTCGTGATGAGATATGAGGTAGCTAATATTACAATCCCTTTTTCTATTAGTGCAGACCACAGTGGTCTTAGTCATTTCACATAAGTCAGGACTTCTTTCTCCACCAGGGAAGAGGCCCCTCAAGATGGGAGCAAAGCCTCCAGTGGAGACACGAGGCACCTTTGTCTCTGCAGGGAGCAGGTGCTGCATTGTCCAGCGAACCTTGGCTGCAGCGTCCCGAGTGGCGTTGGCAGTGAAGTGGTTAGTTATCTTTGATGTCTTTATTTATGGCATTTTCCTCTAAACTGTAACAAGAAGACATTACACTTTACTTCACAACATGGAAATAAACCATTTGCTCCTAACTTTCCTTTCCAGCCCAGAAAGTAAAGGATAAAAGTGTGTCCCATAGGGAACGTGATACATCCATGAAACACAACTCCCAGGTCTTGGTCTTTTCAAAAATTGCCTGAAACTCTTTTTATGTTACAATACTAATGATAGGAAGCTCTAACTTCTATCCCTTTTCCAGTATCTTCAGCAGGATTGAAAGACAATTGTTGGCAGTGTGGGATGTTTTTCACGGATTATGGGGGAAGTTTTACATGTGTATGATACTGACGATACTGTTGTTAACCTACCAGATTCTTTTTCTGTAGTTTTTGTTTTCATAGCTGCACACCCACTAGAAGAGCACAAAGCAAAGCCATGAAAATAGGCCTTTTAATTAGTACAGATCAGCCACACGTGTGCACACAAATATACATAAGGGCATTTGCAAAAGTGTCCATGGATGTAAGGTTTGTTCATAATTAATGCAAGGTGAGGCATCACCATTGCATGTTGCCCCCCGGACCAATATTATACTCACTAAAAGTTAATCCTGATGATTTGTTATTGTTTGAACCGTATGTTGATTTGCTTCTGGCTTGTGTTTGGTGCGTTCTCTCTGATAAGGGACTGCAAGGGGCCGGAAGATTCTGCATCACACCTCCTCAGAGACCTACCATGTCGCACACTTTGTTAACTACAAACTTCACTCTACACTATACAGTACCTTGTTGATATATTCAGTAAAGGCTTATTTTAAAGAAAACCACATTGTGTTTACATGAGTAAATTCATTGGGATATGTGCTAAAGTGAAAGAGAAATCAGGAATGCTTCCCGATGAAGCCCGATGAAGGAATGGAAGAGGTAACAGAACTTTCATAGTCTCCTACCATGAAAATAAGTTGTTACTTAAGGCCATTTGATTCTTTTGGATTTATGTGAAAAATCCTCATGTTATTTTCTGTTTCCCAATTAAACTGTGTATAACTGTAAACACTATGCACACATACATGGGGCATATCATTTTATTTGTGTCAACTATATAGTTTAGGATATAGATAATACCAATGTAGTTATCCAATTTCAAGAGTCCTTTCCCCTATGGCATAATATACACTGTTGGTGTTAAATGTCAGTTTTTAAAAGAATTCTCATGATTACTTTCTGCTTAGAATTGCTCATAACTCATTGGCCCACACTTCAATGGATGCTCATAAAGACGCATCTAATTCATATGCTTAAGTGAAATTTTGGATTAGTGTCATAGGGTTTCCCAGAATCACCTTCTCTAAACCCTTCTTGGCCATTTCATCATTACTTTGCTTGACAAGTATAAAACTACAACATTTAAAGTAGTGAGTATTACTTATTTGTAGGACCTCTGTTGGAAAATGAACTATGGAAGACAGTCTCAATAGATGATTCTTATTACATTGGGGAGATTTTAAATAAAATAATGTCCTTGTTATTTTTTTTTTCTTGCCAAGACTTAAAGACCTTAATCTATGGGGAACAGAACCTAGCCAGGGAATACCAAACATTCAAAGCATTTTATTAAGGCCCTCCTCCTCGGTTTCATGCTGTGTGAGATCAGAGGCCTCACTGAGGAATAAAATGCAGTCTGAGTTGAATCAGTCATGTCTGTTACAACACTACTACGTGTTTATCCTACACATCACTTCTCATCTACTGTCTATGTTACTATGCTAGGGTCCATCACGGATTCAGAGAAACATGGGACTCTGTCATTAGGGAACACACAGATCTTGTAATGAATACTTTCGCTAATGCATTCTGGTTTCAGAACCTTTATAATCATTCCTTTAATGGGACATCCAAGGACACAGAAAAGACATGCCTATTGTTGGTACAGCTGCTGATGCATGGGTCTTACAAGATGAAGTCGGGTTTTTTTAAATGTTTTTTGGTGTTACTAGGGGTTGAATCCAGGGCCTTCACAGTGAAATGCAATCCCAGCCCTTCTTTTTAATTTTTGAGGCAGGGTCTTATATAGACAAAGGTTGCCCAGGTTGGGCTCAAACTTGTGATCTCTCTGCCTCAGCCACAAGAATGCTGGGATTATAAGCCTGAATCACCAAGATCAATTATTATCTTGCCTTTTTAAATAGATATTGCAAAGTGTCAGTACATTGACAAAATCAGAACTCAGTTTAAGTTAAATATTCAAATTTACATTAATTTAAAATTTAGGGATTGTTTTTGGTAGCTGCACATAAAACCTTTTAATTTCTATTAAGCATCAGAACTGAAATCAACTTAAAATATTAATAATGGCACACAGCAATTATTGAATATATATTTACTTACATGTATATCTGTATCCCCAAGACTTTGATACACATACTAGCATTATATCTTTGAGCATGTAAGGTACCGTAAATCCTTTTTTTTTTTCAGATTTTAAATCTCACCTTCAGGGAAGTCATTATTGGTCCACAGTCACAGATTCTATAATTGGCAGAGTCTGGAATTAACTGCAACCATGACCCCAAGGACTTTTTGCAGTTTTCGTGGTTCTTAATAAATTAACTAGCCTTCAAAATGACTGGCCTTCAAGAATATTATTTTGTCCACATTTAAAGACTTTTGATGATGGAGATATTAGATGCCATGGAAAAATCAAAGAGATATTTTAAAACCCTCCAAATAATGTATCTGTAGCGTTTAAGGTCCTTGGTCACCCATTGCTATTTTTTATAGAAGTTCTGTTTTTTAAATTATTGGATGGTTGCACACTTACCTGATTTAAAAGTTTCAGATGGAACCAAAATATGCCTCCTCTACAGAGGGAGCTGAGAGAAATATCAAGAGGACCTGAGTTGGGCTATTTTTAGTAATGAATTTGTTACATACTTGAGGGATTGTTCAAACTATTCTATAGATCCCGCTGAAGATGCAATTGTCAAAATCAATCAGGGTATTAGCACCTGGCTTCGGGATTTATATATTTTCTCCAGCACAAATAAAGACTTTGTGCTTTAGGAAATATCAGAGGAGCTTTATTTTTACAAAATATGCCAACTACTGATCCCATGTGCTGATTTTATTGATATAAAGAATAAGTGGTGGAAATTTCATTATTCCTTGTGGGGGTCTTATGACATAGAAGCCTTCATATTGAGTCTGTTTTTTTCCCCCTTTTCAAATATAGTAATGTGCTGATTCAGAGTCTGTTGAAATGCCCAGTTTGAATAGTATGGGCCCTTGTTGGTTTTGTTTCATTCATCCAATATTTACTGAGGATTGATAAATTGAGGTGCTGAATAAGCTTTCCAGAGGAGTTAATCTTTGTATCTTCAGTCTTTTCTGAAGCTTCTAGTATTCAATACACTGCCCAGACTTCCCCTGCCTCCTTACTGTTTCAGCACTCAGGTGTGTTAAGATTAAATAGTCCACCAAGGATCCTTCCAGTTCCAGGGCTTGCCTAGGACTCTAAAGTGCAATTTTACCTTTCAATTCCTTGATTTCAACTTAGTCATTTATCCTCCTTTTAGCCTTTCCTCACTTCACCCTTTCCTACACATGGCAGGAGAAAAGATAATTTTTAAATAATGATGATGATATTGTCGTGCTTTCAAAATATCCATTACCATTACATGCAAGGTAGAATCTACATGTCTTGTGTGATTTTTTTTTTTACTTACCAGCTTTCCTTCCTGTATTATTTCTAGATGCATTAGTTCTCTAGATTCGACATATTAACATGAATCCACAGTTTATCCCCTAGAGATGCCAAGTTCTGTATTTTATTATTTTATTCTACAACATTTTCCATTGCCTGGGATCATGGTTATCCTTTAAGATATCAGTTAAATATTCCCCTTGGAAAACCGCTTGAATCACATCCGCCAATTATCTGACAACCCCCGTGCAGTTAAAATGACTTCAAATCGCTTCTCGGCCTTTTGGCTAAGATCAAGTGTAAAATGACTTCAAAACCTCTTATCTTTAGCATCTATATGTTTTAATTTCCATGATTCTCTCTCATGCCAGTAGTCAGGATATGAGGAGACCATTCTTTCGGCTTTTCCAGCTGACCCCATATTGAGTTCTGTCCCTAGCACCTGCCTAGCTCAGGGTCCAGCCACCTTTTTAATGTCTTATGGAAAAATGGCTTTTTAAAAAGCCTTAGAGCTAGGGAAATACAAAGTATGTGGAATTAGCTTTATTCAAACAACCCAGTGTTCACTGTACAAGAAGAAAAATACATATATTTCTAAAAAATATCTTTTGGCCATTTATAATTTTTTTTTGCAGAAATTTTGGTTTGTGGTTATTTGGTGGTCACATGTTTATCTGATTTGCAAACTTTAGATTGAATCTGGATGGTCTAAACCTACAGAGTAAGCTGAGTGAGTGAACGAAATGGCTAGAAGTATTTCCATTTCTTTGCTACAGGCAACCTGAAAAATCTGAGCCAACTTACAGCACAGCATAGACAAGATATTTTTTACAAAACCACTTTGCAAGAATGTCACCACATGAAAAGTCCACAAAGCATGGGTAGACATAAAGTCAAACATTTTGAAAGCTTTTTAGTCAAAATGAATTCTTCACAAGTAAAAAGCAAAGGTAGATTGTATTTCCATCAGCAAAATCAAAAGAGATAGTCATTATTCACTGTCACAGCCTACATAAAAATAGAGCATATATCATTTAGAAGTTCACATCATGTTATCTTGACTATTGCTGTGGAAAAGAATAGTCATTCTCAAAAATAATGTGCCCCCAAAGAAGGAGGCAGTAGAGAGAGGTGGTTATTAAAACTCAGAGCTAAAATCAGGCCACTTTATTTTACAAGTCCATCCCCACTACTGATTGGCCAATTCGTTCTGGCAGTAACTTTGACCTACAGTCATCAGTTTCCTTTTCTCTAAATGGGTACAGTGGTGTGTGATGTATATGGTGGTTGTCAGATTTAAAGCCACGTAAAATACGTGACGCAGTGTCTTTACTAAGTACTGAATAGATTACATAAAGTACCTTGTATTTTTCATGTAAACATGATTAACAAAGGGTCACATATTACACTTATAATGAAATTTCTCAAATATTAAGATCTGAATTGCATATAGGGATTATTGATTTAAAAGTTATTAGCTCCAAACATCCTACATTACTGTAGACAACCATTATCAATTAATGTCTGGAAAGGAGCTTTCCATTTCCTCTATTATATGTTTTTGTTTTGGTTTTTAATTTTTTTGTTTTTGTTTTACATTTTGGAAGAACTGGGGGAAGTAAAGGGCCACACCATACCATAACACTTAAAAAAAATTAGCAGGATGTTTGAGATCATTGAACAGAAGTGTTGAACAGAAAGAGAACCCATTGCTGTGTAATGGAGTATATTTTCTTTCTAGTCTGCAAAGCACATGTAGGTGTGGCTATTGTTGAAAAGCAATTT